CCTGCGCCTCTCTGCCGCTTGCCAACTACGCCTCAGCCGGCGCAGGGGGCGGCACCATGCATGTGTGGCGCTCCCGGGCAGGGAAAGTCCTCGACTTATGACTGGTTGGGTAGTCCTCGACTTATGACTAGTTGGGTTAGTCCTCGACTTACAACCGGTTGGGGGTCGCGGCATTAAAAAGGTTGAGAACCACTGTTCTAGAGTTTAAGAAGTGGGAAAATAAACTGATCAGCTTTTAGTCCATCAATTGGCCACTTAGCTTCTCCACACCTGAACTACAGCTCAGGCATTTCTCTGCACACTTACATGTCAGATATCCATAGGAACAGACCCAGCAGCAAAGTCAAAATGCTCCGTGCCCTTGGAGCCAAGGAAAAGGACCCTTCCACTGCGCTCCAAACCAGCGGTAGGATTCAGCCAGTTCACACCAGTTCGGCAGAACCGGTAGCTAATTTTTTTGTTGCCCGGGCCCAGAATGGACTTCTGGAAGCAGCATCCACACAGAGAACTGGTTGTTCACATATCTGAATCCCACCACTGATTTCATGTCTGCAAATGTTCTCCTTTGCAGGGCAATGAATAAAAACGAACTCAGCATTAGGTTACTTTCCTGCTTTTTCAAAGATAGCTGTTTGAATATATTTCTTCATTAAATGCAATATAATATATTTTATTTTAAAATGTATTTTACTTCATGCTCAATATATGGAGAGGAAATATTTTGTACACGAAAACAAGTACAAGTTCTGCATTAGATTGACATTCATTATAATACAGGTAGTCCTCGATTTATGACTGTAACCGATTCCAGAGTTGCAGTGTTATGACATTTGTTAAGCGGGGCAGGTGCCTCTGCCCGATTTTATGACTGTGCAAAATGGCTTACAAGCCTGAAGAAATTGCTTGGACCCAGTTTATTCATCCATTCATTCACTTTGTATAGCCTGTGGTTTCTCTGCATCATGGTTAAAAGGTCACCGATTGAAATTTGGGAGACAGAGCCGTACTCCTCCATCTGAACAGATTAAGGAATCGATGTGCCAGAAATGGAAAGCAATAGAGAGCTTCCTTTCTCAGCTTAGGTGCACTTGTGAGAACATTCTGTTGGGTTGTATTTGCCTATACTGTAGCTTATGTATAAACTGGAGCAGGCATTTATTTACACTTTTCATGCAAGGTTTTGTTAGAAAAGGAATCTAGTCACATTCAAAATCAAGGCATTCTGCAATAGATCCACTTGGGTTTATTGGAATTTCTTTCATGCACACATTGCAAGCAGCATTCCTGTGGTTCTGAATACAATCATTAGTTTTCCCTAAGATTAAAACTCTCCTTTCAGCTGCTCTTGCATCCAGAGCCTGTCAGAGATTTAAAAAGACTCCCAGTGTTTGGATCAAGGTATCACCAGATTCATCAGTCAAATATGGTCAGGCACAATTCATACTTCAGATCACCCCACAAGTAACATGTCATGATACAGTATGTGCACCATTAGGGATTGAAACAGTATTGTTTGCAAAACATGCATTTCTTAAAATATTCTGTGGTACACTCACTGTTCAGAAGAAGCAAACCAAACATGAAAGTAAAGTTTCATGCTGTGCCATGAAACTAAAAATTAACCAAAACAAAATAAGCTATGATATGCACTTTTAGATCCATTTATAGGTGTATGACATTCTCACTCATTACTATCTTTTGTCAAAATTGCTGGTCTCTCTGCAAAAGCTGAACAAGGACAGATTCTTCATGAATCCCCATCACTTCGATCCCTTTTGAGTCTTTGTGGAAAGACTTTGAGGATAGTCCTTTTTAATCCCAATGTTTAAAAAGGGTTTTATTTTAAGAAATCTGTGAGTCAGACATCCCTGCAAATTTTGAGGTTTGGGTCATAGAGCAAGAAGAAGTTAGATTTCATATACTGTCCAAAGATGGGGATGGGGTGTGTTAGAAAAAGGAACAAGAAAGGACTATTACATTTTTCATGGCAACACAAAGATGTACATCTTTCTCTTACAAGAGAAGACAGCAGAAGGGAAAGGGGAGAAAAAGACAGCAGACATCACATTAGTTCTGGCTCAATATAGCAACAAGAGAGAGTAGACAATGTAATCAAACCCATGATGTTTAATAAGTACAGTTGGAAATAAAAAGAGACTTAGAGAATACAGAATAACAGAGTTGGAAGAGACCTTGGAGATCTTCCAGTCCAACCTACTGTTTGAGCAGAAGACCCTATAACATTCTGGACAAATGGCTGTCCAATTACTTGTTAAAAACCTCCAGGGATGAAGCCCCACAACTTCCAGAGGCAAGCCTTTCTCCTAATTGATTGTTTTCACTACCAGGAAATTTCTCCATAATTCTAGGTTGGATTCCTCCTTGATGATTTTCTGCTGGTTACTTCTTGTCCTGTTCCCAGATGCTTTGGAGAATAGGTCAGCCCCCTTTTTTCTCTGGCAGCCCCTCAAATATTGGCAGACAACTATCATGACACTCCTAATCCTTTTCTTGGTTAGGCTAGACACGCCTAGTTCCTTTAACTGATTGTCATAAGACTTAGCCTCCAGATCCCTAATCATCTTTGTTGCTCTTCTCTGCACTCTTTCTAGAGTCTCAACATCTGCTATGCATCATGGAGACCAGAACCGGGTGGTCTTTCCAGTGCAGTATAAAGCAGTACTAACACTTCACATGGTCTTAATACTATTCCTCTATCCACAGCCTAAGACTGCATTGGCAGTTGCAACTGCAGCACAAACCATACTTAAGTGGTTGTTCATTATGACACCTAGATCCCTGTCACAGTTACGGCTGTTGAGCCAAGGGCCACCAATTCTATACCTGAACATTTGGCTTTTCTTGCCTAAATGTAAGATCTTATTTTTCTCGCCAGTGAATTGCATTTTGATGGATAGGGTGCAGTGTTCAAGTCTGTCAACATCCTTCTATATCTTGGGTCTGTCTTCTAAACTGTTGGTTATTCTCCCCAGCTTTGGTGTTGTCTGCAAATCTAATAAATTCCCCTTCCCTTCCCTCTTCTAAACCATTTATGAAGGTGTTAAGAGCACTGGGCCTAAGACAGAACCTTGAGCTACCTCACAGCATTTAGATGTAGTTTCACTGGGGACTACGGGTTAAGTGAAGTTGGTCAGCCAGTAACAAATCCCTCTGGTGTTGATGCTGTCTAGCTCACATTTTTCTGTCTTACCAAAAGGTAGTACTTTAGTATTACTTTACCAGTTTGGAGATAGTCATTATTGGATCTAGAACACCTAGAGGGTTAGACATAGAATACCTCCAGAATCCCTTCCAATCTTATTACAATATTCTGTGTTTTACGTTTTCAGAGATCTGATGCTTCAGAATAAAAACAATGTCATGGCTGTACTGGCTTTCTCTATTGCCAATTCCCCTGGTTTCTCTCTGCTGTCAGAGTTACTTCTAGGCTTTGATTTCTCTGCTCTGCGCGGACCTTTGCAATTCTTCCAATTCTGTGAATATTTTGTAGCATAAATTAATGTTAATCTAAGCCTCTGCTCTGTTATTTATGATACTGGATCTTGTTGTTTCCAGAATTGGTGCATTTTTTTAAAGTATCCTCTTCTTCTTGGGCTTCATGTAGAATAAAAGATGATTATTTCTTTGTAAGGATAAACATCTTTTCTTCCTATTGTTCTTTAGCTGCCGGCCCTTGTTCCTCAGCTAGCAATCCTGATTTTTCACCACATGTCCAGGAATTCCAACACTTAGCAAAGAGTCTATAACCTGGGTGATGACCAAGACATTATGGGTTTCTGTAATTTATGTCTCACCATGTTTCTTATGGGAAAGACACTCTTTGTCTGACTCCTCTGACAAGACCTGTCAGTATGGTTAAACCTCTGGCATAGCTGTCATCTTCCTCAAAATATGCAAGCTCCACAGGAACATCAAGGTAGCTCTTATTATGATTTACTGAACAGTCAGCCAGATGTTCAGACTGGGTTTGGCATTTTTGTTCACCTGTTGAGTCCTTCCCAAGGACCTGGGATGGGCAGATGTTAATGTTTGATGGTTTTAGAGAGATTGTTGGATTAAGAAGGAAGAAGAGGGAATCCCAAAAAGAGGTACAGGTGTCTTTGAATTCACTGAAACAGATTAAAAGCAAGTAGGTTAGAATGGAAATCATGTTAGTACAATCCTGTATTTGAAGATTGTATTTGAAGAAAAAACAGATCTTATTTTGAAACACAGATAAGAATTTCAGTAAAAAATAACTAATGCATTAAATTACATATCAAACAGCATTTTTGTCTAATCCAAACTAGCCAGTTGAAAGAGACAATAATTTATCTGATGAATAACTTCTCAGCAAAAATTAGCAAGTAGAATATTAGCCAATTTTTTCATTATATTTGCCTTCGGAACAATTCAGCCCAGCATGTCAAGAAAAACCATCTAAATTCTATTTCTAATGGCATAAGAGAGGGCATTCTGCCTAAAATCTCCTATTTCATGGCTGAATGTTATACCCTAATTTGAATGTGAAAATTTCAGAAAAAATCATGGAAAAATTCAAACAAAAAAAAATCTTTTTTTTTGCATGACTCTTACCATATTTCCCCGAAAATATTAACCATATTCAGAATGAAACAAAAACTTATCAAATCACTTACTCCATCTCTACTACAATCTGTGGTTGGGAATCCTCATGTTCTTGACCGCGATAGAGTCACCTATTTTCATTTGACCCCGAGCTACTGTAAAAGAATAACAATTGTGTTCCAAAATTGATTTAATTTTTACTATGAAATGTTGTATGATAACTTTTCTATGGAAAAAAAACATGTAATGTCTTAAAAATGGTATCATTTACCTTCTTGACCCATTCAGATGTTTCTTTCTATTCGCTTCTTGCAGAGGCTGAAAATTGTTAAACAAATATTTTAGAATGGGGTAGAGAGTCATCAATTGAAACATGTCTATTTCTCTCCCAGAAGTGGAAGGACAAAACTCACCAACAATTTTCTCTCCGAGTAGGGTATACTGTAGACTGCAGATGGGAGCAGAAGGTGTCAATTGCCTGGTCCAGAGCTCTCATAAGGTCTCTTTTTCTCTCCCTCTCTCTTGAGAGCTCTTGTTAAAAGAAATTGAGCAAGTACAATTAATACATTATAAAATCTTGCTTATAGAGGTTGTTCTAATTTCTTACTATCATGTAAGATACTTACAATGGTGAGTCGGCTGTTTGCCTTCTGGTACTTTTCGCACTTGTTCTTTAATATTGCAACCTGCAACTCCTCTCTGTCAGCATCTCCTGGCAAAAAAATAACAAAAGAATTAGAACTCGTACAGCCAAGATGAATAAATCGCTTTTGTTTTTAAAATGAAAACAATTAAAATGTTGTTAAGTTAAAATAATATTCACTTTCTGGATCCAGTTTTAGTTTCTTCTCCAGCTCCTCTTTTTGCTTCAGAAGCCGGGCCAGTTCGCTGGCTAAGCTCTTGTTCTCCTCTTCCAACTAAGATGCAGAAATTAAAGGAAGCATGCATCAGTCATCGACTATAGATATGCAGACAAAAAGAGGGGCTTAAATCAGGATTGTAAGGAAAATGAATGACTTACAGATCTAATAATGGCCTCTTTTTCTGGCAGCTCCTTCGCCTGTGAGGATGTCACCTCTTCTATCTGCTTCTGTTCTGTATTTTTATGGAAAAACACTTGTGTTGTTAAACAATATTCCCCAAAGACATTACATATTAACCCACAAATAAGACTGAAATTTAAGACTGGTCATTAAATAAGAAGGGTCATGTGTGGTGCAGAAGGAGGGTTGCATTTGTATCCCCATTCCTGCCACAGGTTCTCACACAAACAAAAGAGTTGGTTACTCACTTTGTTCTCTTTAGTGGTCTCTGTATTTCTGCCAACAGACCTGCCAAAAGAAGACATTTTGAACAGCTCAGGACAAACCAACTGGAGGACGTGAATTTACTAAGCATTATAAATCATAGTGTGGATACAATCATAGTGGCTGCAGTCATGTCCAGTTACAATGCACGTTGGCTGCATGCTAACTCTTTGTTCTAAAGCACTTTGCAGTAGTTCTGGTAGTAGTTTTGACCAAAAAGCCACATTTTGAAAAGCAAGGTAACTAAATCAATCTATTATCAGTCTTAGATTGTCCCCTGTCAAGGGATCAATGTCCTGAGATTAGGTTTTCCAAGAAGCTGATCATCTTTGCTTATTTCCTATACCATCTTTCCAGAAGTCAAACTGACTAAAAATCAACCCGACTCCTCTTATAATTAGGGCCCAATTTAGTGTCACTATTATTGTTGTTATTATTATTATTTATGTTATTTTACCTGTCGTGTTACCTCTTTAAATCTTGAACTCATCCTAGAGTTTCGCAGTTGACAAATAAATAAATAAATGGACCTCTTACCTCCAACAGGAGCTTTCCTGCATAGTATAAGAATGTCTCCATTCTTAATGCCCTAAGCTAAACTAATCCTAAACTAAATAAATATAATAAATAGATAAATAAATAGGTAAATAGATAAATAAGTAGATAAATAGATAAATAAATAGGTAAATAAATAGATAAATAAGTAGATAAATAAATAGATAAATAAATAAACATAAACAGATAAATAAATGTATAAACTAATCCAAATACACAAATGTGATATTAAATAAGATAAATAAGCAAACAAATAAATACCAAAAAGTAAACAAAAGCTAAGCTACTGAAACGCTGTAAAATGAAACCAAAACCTGACTAAGCCACCAATATCAATACCCTCAAGAGCTTTCATTCAGTCCACCAAAAGTTTTATTTAATTCTCCTTTGTGAGCTCATCTATGTGTCAGCACCATTATGAAGCATGATCTCACAAAGGAAAAGCAAAGCAAACTGATAGGCTGAATGGATGCTACTCAGAGTTTTATTTATTTTTGCAATATTTCAATATTTTTCAATATTGGGGAAAACGTAATTACAAAAGCCCATTGATGTGTTTGGTGGAATCGGAGGATGAAGTAACAAGAAAAATACCTTAGAACAGCGGTTCTCAACCTGTGGGTCGCGACCCCATTTGGGATCGAACGACCATTTTACGGGAGTCGCCAAACAATGCGATCCGCCATTTTTTCCCTCAGCTGGTGGCGCCACGCATGCGCGGCGCATCCTTATGACCGGGGTCGCCGTATAAAAAGGTTGAGAACCACTGCCTTAGAAAGTAAAATGGCCACAGTTTCTTCGGTTGTCACAACGCTGACAATCAGTCTGCTTCTCCTCAACTTTGAGGATGCAAAGATGTCAGAGAAGTGTGTCACGCCCAGTTGCAAGTGTGCATACATAAAATTTCCCAGGCCTAACAAATATAATCCTCAGGCACCTGCTAGCCATTGTAATCACTGGTAAGAGATGGGAGTGTCCATCGAGGGAGACGCTGCTGGCATTCCTGAGCTCTCAACTTCGCCCCACGTTTCTGCCATATTTTACCAGGAGCCTCAATGAGGTTGCAGCATGTATGGAAAAGTGGGACTGTGGCAAATATGGAATTTGGCACTTCGAAATATGATGTCATTGTGATTGGTGGGGTTGATCGAACAGATTATTCCCCCCCCCCGGCTTAAAATGAACATTTATAAATCTATAGCATACATTTTATATCACATATATATTTCATGAAAACACTGTGGTGTCCATAATACTCGCTGTTACTAGCTATGTTCCATAATTGATAACAGACATCCATAGCTGGTTTATAATAATCAATTCTATGAATGGTTTGGAGCCATATGTTTGTCTTTCTAATGCTGAACAGTAAGTTTTTTAATTCTATGTCCATTTTCTTTGTCCAAAAGTCAAAGAAAAGGCTGTAATCCAACATCTGTTGGTTTTTTTTAAAAAAAAAAATCTCTTATCAGCTACGACATGGAAGCAAAAAACCCCCCAAAAAAGACTAGTGTGTACATATTTAAATAATTTCTTTAAAAAATTAGAAAAGCAAAACAAACAAAAGGGAATTTTAAAAAAAATAATAAAAAGTGCATCCAAGAAGCAAGTCTCCATTTCTCCCACACCCATTTTTTCAGCTACTAATTGTTACTTGCACATTTTAATCGTACTTTGGATATTATTAACTCCTATCTGTTTGGATCCTTTGAATTGTAGAAGGTGTAACGGCTCACTGACTTAATGACGCTGGAGATGGTGCCAGCTCCGGCAATTCAAGCCCTAAATCTGCGTGGCAGGGGTACTCTTTCACTTATCTCAGCTTCTGTCCACCTAACAGTTTGAAAGCATATTCTATGCAAGTAGATAGATCGGTAGCACTTTGGTGGGGAGACGAGCTGGTGCTTTGTGCAGGCAGTTAGGTTACTTTCCAGGTTGCGGTGCCCTATAGTGAGGAAAGCTCCGTGAAGGGAGGGGGCTTTGGGTGACGCTACAGAAAGAGCCGCTCATCTTTCTCTCTGGTGCAAAGCCAGCTTGCCCTCCTGCGACACACCTTGGGAAGCACACAAGCATTTCCTATAACAGGGCTGGTATCTTGGCAAGCCAAACTACTACTCTGCAATAGCATTGTGGTCTCCTGGCTACTGTAACAATGCCATATGATAACAACAACAACAACAACAACAACTAAACCTTTCAGAGGGGATAGCCTGCTGCACGTCCTTCTGATTAGCTACAGTGCCTGGGACATACTTCCTTCCCCCCACCAGCTGGACACTTCCCTGGCTGCCATGTTATCCTAAGCTCCTGTGTTTTGCTCTTGTGTTTTGCATTGGTCAGCAGCTGCCATTTTTTATTATCTTATGCATATAAATCTTGTGGTGGGATAATGATGGCCCGTTAGACCAATGAACCTGCATCAACCAATGTTTTATTACCTCCTCCAGAAGTTCAACCCTTAGTTTACCCATATATATATATATATATATATATATATATATATATATATATAGGTCTTTGGTTGTTCGGGTTTTCTCCCGCGTAAAATTGGAAGTGTCTTGGCGACGTTTCGACGAAGTCCCATTCGTCATCTTCAGGCTGGTGTTTTCAGCTTCGTGCTTTCGAGCAGCAATGTGTGGTCTTAGCTGTTTCTTCCTTTTAACTGCCAGTGGGGGTATGAACTGATTGGGTGGGAGCTTGGCTGTGTTCTGATTGGGTGGAGGTGTGTTCTGATTGGTTAGGGGCGTGGCTGTGCTCTGATTGGCTGGGGGGTTGGCTGTGCTCTGATTGGCTGGGGGGTTGGCTGTGCTCTGATTGGCTGGGGGAGTGTTCTGTTTGGTTGTGCTCAGGTTAGTCTGAGTTGCAGAGGGATTCAAGATTTTGGGCTGCCCTGCCATTCCTTGGCTTCGCGTTCGTGGTCGTGCTTCCTCTTCATGGAGGGTGTCAGTTTGCTTCATGTATGGATTGGGGGGGTTTAAAGTGGCTAATGATGCAGCTGTGGTCTGGCTTCTGGTTTGTGGTCGTGCCTCATATCAGTGTGGCTTTGGGTTTGTTTTTTGCGTGGATGTTGTGGTGGTGACCTCCTGTGTGGTTTTTGTGAGTGTGGGTCTGGTATCATTTTTTGTGTTAGGGAGTCGTTTGTCAATAAGGGCGGGTTTCCAAATGGCTGGTAGGCGGGAGGTATCATCTCGCTTGTTCATGCTGTGTGGGCGTTTTTCTATCTCGATGGCTTCTCTGATTATTCTGTTATTAAAATGTTCACTTTTGGCAATGGTTCTGGTATTTTTAAAGTCAATTTCATGTCCTGTGGCTTTAAGGTGTTGGACCAGGGAAGATGTTGGTTCCTCTTTTTTGACTGAGTTCTTATGTTCTTCAATGCGTGCACTTATTCTTCTGTTGGTTTGTCCGATGTATGTGGTGGGACAAGTGGTGCATGGGATTTCGTATACTCCTTGATTTTCTAATTCAATTTTATCTTTGGGGTTTCTAAGGATGGTGGATATTTTTCTGTTTGTGCAGAATGCTGTTTTGATGTTGTGTTTATGGAGGATCATAAATCAGAGCACAGCCACGCCCCTAACCAATCAGAACACACCTCCACCCAATCAGAACACAGCCAAGCTCCCACCCAATCAGTTCATACCCCCACTGGCAGTTAAAAGGAAGAAACAGCTAAGACCACACATTGCTGCTCGAGGCACGAAGCTGAAAGCACCAGCCTGAAGATGACGAATGGGACTTCGTCGAAACGTCGCCAAGACACTTCCAATTTTACGTGGGAGAAAACCCGAACAACCAAAGACCTACATACAAAAAAAAAAATATATATATATATATATATATATATATATATATATATATATATATATATATACACAAATATATAGCTTAGAAATTGCTTAATGACATTTAATCTTAATAAACTTAACTAAAATTTAAGGAGTGAGTTTATGAATTATAAGATGGAGTAATTTAGGCTTTTAACTTTAGGGCCTTTGGCATATGCAAGATAAGCTGTTGTGGTTTATATAAGTAGGTTAATAGAAGCTAGGCATAACCACAAGGAGAGGAAACACAAAAATATAGAGCTTATGCTAAGCTAAAGGTCATGGTTAAACAATACAGGTACAAGAGGTGCAACAAACCTTTTTCCTGGGAGGGTATGAACAAAATTTATTATGCCTAAGAGCTTTGGATTAGCTGATCGGTGGGGGGGGAGCAGGTGGGCTTGAGTGTGATAGGGGTGGGGAAAACCAGCGTCGTGAAAAGGGTATAAATATGTGATTTTAACAATTATTGGTGTGGCTTGATCTTCTGCAAGAGACTAAGACAACCAACTTTTGCAAAAGTTTTAAATCTCAATAAAACTCTGTTCCTGGAATCCCAAGTGAGTATTTGAGTTTATTTATTTTCAAAATTCTGAGCAAAACACTCCAAACACTCCTATTGGTGTTTCTGATATGAACATTTTGTAACTTGGTTTAAAAATAAATTATTCAGAATAAAATTTGGGTTAAGATTGTGCCATA